TGCTGAACTGCAGCACTTGTTGCACAGCACATCAGCTGCCAGGGCTGCACATGATTCACGGACATACATAAATCTGTAAACATGCTGGGGCCTCAGTTCCTCCCTTCCCTCCCCCTCCCACAAAGTACAGAGTGTCAGCGCTGTGTGTGTATCCTTCGCTTGTTTATCTATATTATTTTTAAACGGTTTTCCTGCGGGAGGACAGTAATGTCATCACATCACTCTGCAGCTGGAGGGAGAGTGTTTGGTGCTGTGCTCCGCACTCCCTTCCTGCCAGAGGGGCAGAGCCAGGCCAGCCACAGCCTTGGTCTAGCCCAGTGGTCCCCAACGTGGTGCCTGCGGGCGCCATGGTGCCCGCTGGGCCATTTATGTGCGCCCGCGGAGCAATCTGGGCTGGCCCCGCCCCCGGGCGTGCGGCAGGTGCCAGCCCCGGGCGCATGGGAGGGCCTATGCTATGGGGTCGCGGCGCGTGCCGGTGCCGGCCCTCGCCCCAGATGCGCTGCGCATGCCGGTGCCGGCCCCGGGCACGCGACACCTTGGGCGGCCCCTGCCCGGGGTCACAGCACATGCCGGTGCCGGCCCCTGGTGTGCGGCGCATGCTTGGCCCCACCCCCAGTCACGTGGCCTGTGAGCGGCCCCGCCCCCGTACGCCCAGCGCGTGAGCAGCCCCTCCCCCAGGTGCCCGGCAGCCTCAAAACGTTGAGGACCACTGGTCTAGCCCAACCCTGCCCCCCAGTGGCTTTAGGAGGAGAGCTGGGCCAGCAGTGGCCTCAGTCTGGCCTAACCTCTCCCTGTCCCCCAAGCAACCGTAGTGGGAAGAACCGGCACAGGCCAGGGCTGCTACACTTTGGCCTAGCCCTCCTCGGCAGCTGGGAGGAGGGCTGGGGATTCCTACCCCCAGAAAAGGGGGGGTTGGTGAGCGTAGTGAGCAGGGGGCACGGCCCCCTAGTTGTTTTAATAAATGAAATTCTTGGGTTTGAAAGCAATCTTTACTCCATTACATGAAAGCAAGCAAGCATAGCCCAGCAACGCAACAGGAACCTTTCTAGTGAGTGCATTGTACAGACCAATCAATCACAGTCACCTACTAGCATTACAGGCTTTCCACTTATGTCTATGGCCACAAATATTACTGGCTTTCAACATCAAATTGCTGCCTCAAGGCATCCCTGTTCCTTGTGGCCTTGTACTGTGCACCTCTAATAACCCAGATCTCTAGCTACTCAAACTCAGCCTCCGGGTTCTGAGCCTTCACGATCTAGCTCTGTGTGAAGCTTTCACCTTTCCCTTCACAAATATTATGGAGGCTACAGCATGCGGCTATAAGCATAGGAATGTTATCATTGGTACGGTACTACTTCCCATACACGTGTCAGCGGGCTTTTAAACTGCCAAAATCACACTCAACAGTCATTCTGTACCTGCTCAGCCTGTTGTTGAACCACTCCTTGCTATGTCAAGGCTCCCAGGCTGTGTCTAGACTGACAAGTTTTTCCGCAAAATCATCTGCTTTTGCGGAAAAACTTGCCAGCTGTCTACACTGGCCGCTTGAATTTCCGGAAAAGCACTGACGATCTCCTCTAAAATCAGTGCTTTTCCGGAAAAACTATGCTGCTCCCGTTCGGGCAAAAGTCTTTTTCCGAAAGACTTTTGCGCAAAAGGGCCAGTGTAGACAGCAGAGTACTGTTTTCCGCAAAAAAGCCCCGATCGTGAAAAAGGCAATCAGGGCTTTTTTGCGGAAAACCACATCTAGATTGGCCACGGACGCTTTTCCGCAAAAAGTGCTTTTGAGGAAAAGCATCCTGCCAATCTAGATGCGCTTTTTCGAAAATGCTTTTAACGGAAAAGTTTTCCGTTAAAAGCATTTTCGGAAATTCATGCCAGTGTAGACGTAGCCCAGTGTATAGCTTCATGAGCCATGACATTGAGGAGTAGATGGAATCTCTCAGGATCACAATAGACATTTCCCCTTCAGACCTTCTGGTCTGGAAAGAAAGTCCCCGCTTGCATCTTCCTGAACAGACAAGAGCTCCAAAAGATGTGTGCATCATGCATCTTTCTGGACCAGCCTGCGTTAATGTTTGTGAAACACCCCTGGTGATCCACAAGCACTTGG